TGTTCCAACCGACTGGAGCCGCTCTGTCATAGTCCCAATTTTCAAGGGAGACTCGCGTTCGGATTCAGTCTGATCTTCATCGTCTCCATAATCCTTCACAGACTGACTGGCACTCGTGAAAGCCAGATTCGTGAAGAGCAAGCCGGATTTCGTCAAGGTCGTGGCTACATTGACCACACCTTCACCTTGCGTCAGTTGTTGGAGCACCGTCACATATATTGGCGGTCCACCGTTGTCGTGTTCCTCGACATCAAAGGTGCATTCGATTCGGTGGATAGACATGCACTTGGGACTGTCTACTCAGGAAAGATGTACCTGAGAAATATGTAAATATTATCCGATCCTTTATATGCGCGTAGCTCAGGCAGAGTGAGGTCTTACGGCAAGCTGTCGCCACCCTTCAATATCTCCAGCGGCGTGAGACAAGGATGCCCGCTGTCACCCTTCCTCTTCAACTTCGCTGTTAACGAAATCATGGAAATCGCATTCACAGGATACGACTTTGAAGGTGTGGATCTGCTCCCAGCATAACGACTTCTTGATTTGGAGTATGCTGATGATATTGCCCTAATCTGTGACAGCTCACAAACGTGTCAAGCAGCACTGGACAGATTAGCACTAGTTGTCCGTCACTTCGGGCTTTGCTTTGCACCCTCGAAGTGCAAAGCGCTCCACCAAGATTGGTCTGGACCGTCTCCTGCGCTGACTGTTGGTGGGGATCAGCTAGAAGTCGTTCAAAATTTCAACTACCTGGGAAGTTGTATCAGCGTCCGTGAGATTGAAGATGAGATCACGAACCTTATAGCAAAGCTCGGGGCGCTTTCGCTAACCTTCGCCACTTATGGCGTCGGCGCGACATCACTCTTGCCCTGAAGGGTAGAGTGTATCATACAGTGGTACGTTCGACACTACTGTACGGTTGTGAAACCTGGTCGCCTAAAGCAGCGGACCTGAAGAGGCTAGTTACGTTCGACCACCGGTGCCTTCGTAATTTAGCTCACATCTGGGGGGAACACCGCGTGAGTGACGAGCGTGTTCGGCGCCTTGTTTACGGCACAGGAAAAGGAAATGAGTCGCTCAGCACCGTTATTTCACGCACCAGTCTCAATGGTTGGGTCACGTGTTATGCATGTCAGTCCACCGAATCCCGCGACGTGCGTTGTTTGCGCGCCGGGGTTGTGGATGGAAGAAGAAGAGAGGTGGCCAAGCGAAGACTTGGTCGAGAGGAATGAAGGCCCTCACTTGGAAGCTGGCCTCCGTTGGAGGGTCTCGGCTTCCTGGTTGGGGTCTGAAAGACCATGAACATCTTTGGCTGGATGCACTTGTTGATACGGCTAGGAGCCGACTTCAGTGGCGTTCGTGCTGTGAATTTCTTTGTCCCACCCTATCCTTCTTAGCCTCCCCCTGCAACCACGGTCTCACTGTTTAGCCTTGTATAATTTTGTATAATAATTTTTTTCTGCATGCTAGTCTGCTGGTAGCTTACTGGAACGATGCCCATCCGTTACCGGTAGCTCAGCTGGTTTGCACCTGTTGCATTTCCCCCTTTTTTCTTTTATGTATTGCGGCACAGTATCTGAGGTGTTTGCCACCTCTAGCTAACGTGTATGAGGATGATGATGATCTTCCAGTCATGTTAGTTGACATGAAATCTGTATATGCTAATGAATGCGGATTTGGTAACCAAGATATTTTCTGGAAATTAACTTCTCCAGGTATGATTTTCTGGTTGTACGGCAGCCCGTAGCCTAATGGTAACAAGCTTGTCTTACAATCTGGCGCCTCGGGTTCGAGCCTGCTTAGGGGCAGGGCTACCCTCGCAATATCCTAGCCCACTTGCGACCGGTGTTAGTTGCGCGGCAGGGATGCGTCTGTACTGCGACTGACGTACTGGTGATGTCTTTTGCTATTTTTGTACGGCAGCGCTGGTGGCGACATCACCAGTTAGGGCATTCGGAGGTCTGTTGATGAATATGTAATTAGGCTGCGCACTAACAGTATTCCTGGCCAAACCGTTGTCACAGAGTGAGAATCCGACCTAACCAACGCCGTCCGGGTCAAAAATCTGTTTGGTCTTCTCATATCTGAGGTTCCGGCTCTATGTCACTCGGCTGACGAGCCAATGGTTTTATCAAGCTGATGGTCTTGTGCTTGGCGCAAACGTTGCGACTGCTCCTCTGTGTTATACACTTGCTTGTTGGGTTCGACTCTCCTAGTCGGAACGGATGAACTCTTTCACTCATTGGTTCCCACGCGCAAAGTAGCCTAGACGATTCCATTTGGAATGCCTAGTGGACTTTGCCGGCAGACATGAACTCGTGACTGAGAAGGTAGACGGAATACGTACACACCGCACATCTGTACCGAGATCCGGAGTAAGAAGAGTGGCCGATAGTAAGTGTGCGTTTATCGACTCAACCAGGACCACCATGCTTTCTACACCTTATAGTTCACTAGAACAATAGTTAATATATAGACTATAAGGAAAAGCCTATGTTTGTCAACACATGAGTTGTCATGTCATGACCGAGATGGAGGGGTCGTCGATGCTGTTGAAACGTTTGACACGTCACAGTTGTTTAGCGTGCTCGGTAGTTAGGGTATTTGCATGAACACAGCTCAGGAGGCAGACTGTTGACTTGAGGAGAGTTCGGGAGATACACTGGTGAGACTGGGACAAGTTCAGTTGAAACTGTGCGGGTTATGTTGGCCGCATACTCACTGAGGGCAACTTCGTTGTGATCTGCGCAGATGAGTGGGCTTTTGGCGGCAGTTTCCGGAGGAAAAGTTCCGCTCTGAACTGAGTAGTTTAGGTCTCATAACGACCGTTTTCATCGGTCCCGATAGTGTACTGACGCCTTTGAACTCCGGCAAGTTTGGCAGGGCTGTGCCAGCCCTGTAGCATTCTAGAACATCACATTCGGTCGATTTACCTCGGCTTGTTAGGTCAGTTCCTTCCTACCCTAGCTGTTCAAGAATATGGATCTTTTTACATAGTTGTTAACTGCTTGCGAATGGCCGCAAACAGTCAAGAGCCGGAAGTGAATTCCGAACCTCAGATTCACTTCGAACCTCAAAGTTAACTGGCCACCATTCAGTCTGCACCATGCTAGACCATGCGGTTGGAACGCAGGAAACCAATGGAATTGCTCTTCAAAGTGTCCAAGGTACTAGACAGCGTCAATTCAGCCTGGGAGTGCCTTCCTGCAATCGGCAATTAGGATTTGTTGAAATATTCTATGGTTATGTCTTGGTTGCCTTACTGCCCTTCAGCTCCTAGACTATCTGGGTTCACCGATTTCCTCAGTCAATTTGCATGTTCCATTTTAGCTTGCTTGCACATGTTGTATTGTTCTCTGAGCCAAGTGGTATTTCCTTCTTCCATATTTCGATAGGTTCATATGCCTTTCTATGTCTGATGGTGTCGCAGTAAGGAAATCCGGTCTTATGAATGATATTGAAAATCCCATCCCAACAAAACTTGCTGACATCTAAGTGAGGAATTGAACATCTCCTGTGTAGGACAAGCTTACCCAGTTAGTTATGGGTGGAAGCACCTGATCAATATCATCCTCTGCGGCAGTTTTTGACAAAAGTCAATGGAAATTCTCAGCTTACCCGGGCATGACTAGGGTCCTGGGCGGAAAGAACGGTAGATGAAAGCACGCCATTTGTCTTATGTCGATATGTTCTATTTGAATCTACCGCTGTTTAGAAGTCAGAGGGTACCAATTGACACATCCGCGTTCATCATTATTGGTGACAGGATGCTTAGAAACAGCCGGCAATCTGTGCGTAACTGCAGTGAGCGTCGATTATTCTCCGTGTGCTCGAGGTTATGCTCAAACTCAGCCTCGGAAGCGTTTGGATGATCCGTCCTCTCATCCGCATCCTCAGTGACTACAAACTCTATCGGAGCTGATTGTACTTTGTAGTGACATACTAAGTTTGTGCTAGTAGGCATCTGGTAACATCAGCTGTAATCTATCGTTTGTGCTAACCACAAAATAGTGATGTCTCACTCTACTCCGTGCGTTGCACACAGGCTACTGTTTGCAGAAATCCAAGCATTCAGTGAGGAATCAATCCCGGTGTGGAGATCAATGCCTGCTCCAGCTTGATCCTTAAATGTTGCATCAGCATCTTCGCGGACGTGTAAGCGACGGCGCGGTGATAACACAAACGCAGCCAGTTGGATATCCGTATTCTAGTTTCGGAGACGCAATGCACTTCAATACATGGAGTATTCAGAGTGCACTCAGTTGCAAGTTGACTTAGGTTGCGTTTAATGCAGTCATGGAAATCAGGCAGATACGCGTTGGCTGCAGCTGACGTAACCGATGAAATTCGGTAGGTGTGTAAAGGAAACAAGTGCAAGAGAGGGGAGGTACCTTCAGTAGCTTGTTTCCACCTACCCATATCGCTCAATGCATTAAAGAATGCAACTTTGTAAATCTGCACAATGGTCGTGTAATACGAGTCTGCGACTTAACTATTGTGCTTGAAGTGTAAGAGAACCAGGGTGCCCAAATGTAGACTAAAGAGCACCTCAAACTTTATTTTGCTCAGACACCTCATAGCGAAGCAATGGGCATATGATAACGATCCACAAGATGAACCATTTTTACTTGAATGGACGCCATGCCTAATTGGAGGGCCTAGCCTGTACAATCAATAAACCGAATTTGCTTGATCTTAGCCGTTCTATTTAGCAAGTAGATGCAGTTCATTGGATCGGATAGGTCTGCAAGTGGTCACTCTACAGCAGAATCCAGTTCCATAGAGACGTCCGCCCCACTTGTGCATCCGAATGTGGGTTTCTGGGAGGCGGTAAACGATCCTACCCCAATGCGTAACACTGAAAGTTCTTTTTGTAAACACTGTTTACCCATTCGTCGTCAATTGCCTTTTTGTGAGTGGTCAGCCCACGATCAAAATATTTGACACATTCATGTTCCATTTAATCTAACCATTTGCCACGTTTTCCTTTCTATTTTCAGCAACCCGTTCAGAGTTACACGAAAGATTACTTCCAGAATGAAATGGCCAGTTGGTTTACCGAGGATACTGTCAGTCAGAAACGAACGGAAATTCAGCAGCTCCTTCTTCAGTTGCACCAGCAACATCAACACCCGTAGACGCTCGGCCACATTCTGTTCCCCTTACTGACTGATTGACTTCGTGCGCATATTTCTCTTCGTCCAATGTCTCACCGATTCATCGCCTCATGGACCCAGCAACACCTATATGCAGCCGACCCATTCGGTCTGGTGGTTTCCATCAGCCCTAGCCATTCCAAACCGTTTTTACCATGTACATATATTCCCTGCCACCACCACCACCACCACTACTGTTTTCCCCCTCCTCATCAGGCGCTGGTGTGCCGATATTTCGTGCGACGGTTACACGTGTTTGTTGCCTTATTGTTCTTCTTGTGGCCCCTCCCTGCGGTTTCATCTCACCACGATCCAAACCTGTCCACTTGGCTTCTACTTGTGAACTACAACGGCTGGGTGGATAGGATCATTTTTTTACCTTGTCATTATTGAGGTTGCCTGGCAACCTCCTCTGTCAACCAATTTCACTGTGCACAAATCAGATGATTCCAACTCCTCTCATTCAACAACTATCTACGGCTCCGCATTGGGAGACGGCAAACTGTCTAGGCTTTTTCTATTCATGCTTGGCGCAGTCCGATCAGTGTTGATGCTCCGCGTGTATTCACTTGCAAACACAGCGGTTAGATTTTAAAAGAAAATACGTTCATGGGTTTGTGTACGCCTGAGTGGTCGCGTTTGACTTTGTCTGTGTCCGTATGTTTGTTCACTCGCTTTTCTTCGCCACTCGTCGGCCCGTCTGTGCGTGTGTTGATTTCCTGCACTGAGTCAGTACTCAAGCCATGTACCTGTTTGAGCTGGTCACGATACACTGTAGGCGGTATCACACGCAGAAGTGTCGTGCCCTACTTGTAGGACCGAGGTACAAAGACCGCGAATTGTGTGCGCAGGAGAGTCTCAGCGATGCATCCACACGGCGGCAATAGGTTTGGCTAGTGCTACTGCTGCTAACTATTATGTAACGGTAAATCATGGTAAGCATAAAGTTTGCGATATCAGTTTACAACGAAAGGACTACATACAAGAACGCTACTGACCTCGTAGCCACGCCATATCCGATAGAGTATTTGACCACTAACGTCATCAATTCGGAGTACTCTACACCGTAATACATCGGTTCTACGTGGTCATTCGGTTTCTCATTTCGTTGGCTAACGATCCCTGAGTTCCCACCAACTAGGCGGCGACTGTGCCATAAGCCCCAACTTTTTCCGAACTGCGCGCGTAGATCACAGTATACAGATAGTGGAACTGGGAGGACCTTAGAGGGGACGCGGCGTCATAGGCGCTACTATTCGCTGCACCAAATGCTTTATTGTGGTCATGAGAACCAACTGGTATCATCAGGTCTGTGTGTATGATGCTATGGAAATAGTGCGGGCGATGTGATCTACCGTGATCCAACGTCGAGCGGTCGGACTACTTTTATATCAGTCAGTGTGTTATCACATGCTCGACCTTGAGTTCCATCCAGCAGGCCAGGCCTGGTTGCGCTCGGTTACTGGATCCAACGAACCGTAAATACTTTTCTCGTGATAGTTCTTGCCTTAAGTTGTTTCATCCAGTATGAGACTGTCAGCGGATCGGCCGACTTGTTTGATACCTCAACTTCTACAGCGTTGCTGTGTTTACTAAGTTAGTACTAGTCGTCTCCAAATCCATTGTGGCTTCCCCCACTGCATGTTTCCAAGTCCTACTTCGAATTTACACCGGTGGAACAATCTAAGCCACCCACGGTTGGTTGCGGCTACAGGGAACTCTAGGTGAGTATGTCGGAAGCTACATGTGAGACGGATGCAACACCTACCGACATGTCGGAAAGGTAACCAACGCAGTTTCCACTGATTCGATCCCCTGAAGTATGAAGTTGTTGAGCGATAAACCCCGAACTACAGGATACGTTCAAGGAAACTGTGCATTTCAGCGCAATTGCTATCGGTGATGATCCGACTGACACTTGCCAATGCAGTTTTGACTGTGACGATTACCATGCTTTAGTGAGTCCACTAAGTGGTTTCGTGTTCATCTATTCGGATTTTATTGGCCCTCTGATTTACAAATTTGAGTGTGGTCGGAACACAAATTACGGATGCTGCATTGACCAGACATTCGACCTCGATCTTTACTGCGTATTCCTTAGCCATAGACAACCTTCGATACAAAGAATTTCCTACTGTCCCTCTAAATAATGTGCTCGGAAAGCTATCTGGTGAACGACCGGCTCATTGTGCCGACGACGAGGAGGCGGCTGCACTCGGCCGTTGAGAGATGAGACCCAGGTACCTGACATAATAGCAACGATTACAAGGGAAGTGACCTAGTGTTCATTGTTTTACGGCTACAGATTACGAATTAATTACCTAATCTGTCGGTATCGGTCGCGTACCCCAATATCATCTTAATCATTATACATGCTAGCTAGAGGTTGAAAACACCTCAGCTATTGTACCGCAATACAAAAGAAATGAAAACACAATGGAGGCACGTGTTGAGTCATCAGTAGCTGATGGACATCGTTCCGGGGGGCTAGCAGCCGGCTATTGTGACGCATAAAGTTACCTTATGTCCAGTGAATGAGATCGTGCTTGGAGGGGGATGCTAAGCGGGCGGGGGCGGACAAAGGAACTTACAACATCACTGATTTCGGCTCATAGCCATGTCAACAAGTGTATCTAGCCAAATGTGTCCAACCTCTTTCAGACCCCAATCGGAGAGCTGGGGGGCTCCAACCGAGTCCCACTTCGAACTAAGGGCCTTCATTGCTCTTAACCAAGTCATCCTTTGGCCACCCTTCCTCTTCTCCCATCCACATCTCCGGAGAGCAAACAACGCACATCACGGCTGGAGCCGGTGTGTTGGCATGCGCAACACATGGCCCAGTCACCGGGGCCGGGTGCGTGCGAACGGTGCTGATCGGTTCACTACTTTCTGTGCCATAAACAAGGCGTCGAACACGCTCATTGCTCACACGGTACTTCCACCAGATGGGAGCCAAACTGCGACGGCACCGGTGTTCGAACATAATAACCCTTTTTATGTTGGATGATCTAATGGGTCATGTTTTACAACTGTACATGAGAGTCGAACGTACAGCTGCATTGTACACTCTACCCTTCAGGGAGAGGGTGATGTCCTGCTTGCGCCATAAATGACGAGGGTTAGCAAGAGCGCGTTATGCTACATGGTTTTTGACCTCGTCTTCAATTCCAACGGCGCTGATACAACTTCCCAGGTAGTTGAGTTTTTGAACGACTTCTAGCTGATCCCTAACAAGAGTCAGTGCTGGAGGCGGTCCCTGCCAATCTTGGAGGAAAGCTATGTATTTCGAGGGAGCAAAACATACCCCTAAACGACTGACAGCCATTGCTAATCTGTCCAGTGCCGTTTGGCACGTTTGTTAGCTGTTACAGATGAGTGCAATATCGTCAGCATACTCTAACTCAAGACGTTCGCCCGGAAGCAGCTCCATACATTCTAACTCGTGTCCTGTGAACACGATCTCCATGACTACGTCAATAGCGTAGTAGAAAAGCAATGATGATAACGGACATCCCTGTTTTACACTTCTGGAGCTATTGAAGAGCGGTGACGGCTTGCCCGATATACGCGCATAAAGTACTGGGATAATATTTACATATTTCTCGGGTACACCTTTCTCAAATGGCTCATCAATTTGAAGGCACGTTTGATGTCTAAGAACACCAACGATGGGCCATTAATATATGTGACGGTGCTCAACAACTGACGCAAAGTGAAGTCAACTCAAGTCATTCTCCAGCGACGAAATAGGCCTTCGCCTAAAAAGCCTCCCGTTTCGTGTTCCGATAAGCAAGCAAGGGTCCCCGCTACTTCGACTTCCAAACTTCCTCAATTCTACAGAGACGAAGATTGAGTGCAAACTTTCGTAAATTCATGAAACTATCAATGACATCCTACGGAGCACGGGCTATTTGGTACAAATTACTACCCACTAATCTCAATGCAGTTCCGGAAAGGATGGACCAAATCATATCCAAACCTTTTTTAAAGGCTTCTATCGCATTACATTCCACTAGATGCGATCGATGCAGCCTCGATCTCGACGAAACCCGGCTTGTTCTTCACGGATCTAGCCTTCACAGGTGTTATTCACTATGTGAAGGATGACAGAGGGAAGCAATTTGGGGCGATGGAGAACAGGCTGATTTCTCTATGGTTGCCGTATTCCGAACGTGAGGCTTCCTTGAAGATCAGGACAACGGAGCGGCTCCAGTCGGTTTGGACAGTTTCCTGCTCCCACAGTTTCACTAGTAATTCGTGTAAATCAGCAATAAAATAAAGGCCCCCGAATTTGTAGACGGATGGTTGATGACCATCGGGTCCCGCAAGTTTATTCAACCTACCTCAGGGTTTTCAAACGCTGATCCCGAGCCCATGTTGTCGGTGAGTCCCGAAAGGAAGAAGCTAGCTTCCAGCGGATACTCAGTGTTTGTCTTGCCCCACCCAATTGTGGCGAATTCTGTTCAAACCAATAGCGTACAAGCTAAATTTTTCTTGAGCCTTGGAATACTCTTATTGCCTTTGGGTTGCAACACCAGCGTGTCCGCAACGATAATGCACGTACACGAGTGGTAATCGGGCTGGTTCTTTTGAACAACAGATGGCACAAAATATATTGCGTTGATTTTGGCACGTATTACATATGTCTGGTCCCCGTTTACTGAGGATGGTCTTGTTTTGTTTACCGGATGTAACATGGCGCAAAGCTCGAGCTGGGCAAGAGTTTACTTGGCAGCGGAATATAAACTCACTCACTACAAAACGGGCTACCGTTAGTCCGTCTCGCTTTTCATGCTGGAGTCCATGTGACGCGCCTTATGTTTTGCTCGAGAGGTTACAGGACATGTCTTGCAATCAACACCAATGGCGAGTCTGTTATCGTCCATTCGGACTGTCTGTTTAACGTGTGGTGCTGTCTCACCGATATCGCCTTATATTTGCACGGTATCCAGTTGTTTGTGACAGTGTGTTCCTGGCAAAGTACATCCATCTTGGCTCTTGACGTTTGCCTATGGCATTAAAGTTTTTCGCTGTCCCCTTCTCTCTGTTATTATGCTTCGATCCGAAACTCACCGTGGTTGTACGGCAGCGAGGCATTATTTCCAATGGCTCAAGTACTGTTGTTGATGTAGATCATGAAATGAACCATCGTCACTCGTATCGCTGAGATCCTATCTGAAGTTAAAAGTTTACGGTATTGCTTCTCAGCAGCGCTGCAGTCTACTAAAGGAGTGAGGAGTTAAGCCATGAACTTCAGTCGTCAAGCCTTACTTGCGGGGGTACTCACTCTCTGCTCCCGCTTTCGTTACCTGAGGATTTCAAATAAGGACGAAACCTGTCGCAAAGTGCATTGTTAGGTGCGAGTTGCACCGAAAACCCTTGGCGATGAACAAGTTTCGTTGCATAAATTCTTCATATGTTATCCAGATTAACCGTGTGTGAAGTCATTTCCTGACGCTTTCACACCTATGTGTAAAGTAATTGTGATTTGATAGGGAACTCTGAAGATGAAATTCTTTCAAATGGCCTGAGTCTCCATCATATTCATTGCGTCTGTTCTGCTCTGCCGAGTTTGTCTATTGATCTCCTTAAA